GTAGGAGAAAATGCATGTCCTGAAATATCATTACTTATCAAATCATCAGAGCAGGAACCACTTACGACTTTTGCATTTATTTATGCCATAAAAATTGTATAGTTGCCAGATTGAATTTAAACAAAATAACTAGAAATTGGAGAAAAAAGGTTGTCCAACAGAACAGTGATCCTAAACCAAGATTTAGCATTCCAAAGTGACATTATAGAATAGACCAGAGGTACCTTGAGGAAATTATAGTTTAGGACTATAACCAGTAACCTGAAGTGATTATTTAATTACAGGTAGTCCTTGATTTAAGATTACAACTGGGATTAGAATTTCTGTTGCTAAACAAGGCACTTGTTAAGTGAATTGTGCCTGATTTTATGACCTTTTTTGCCACAGTTGTTAAGTGAATCATGTGGCTGTTAAGTGAGTCCGGCTTCCCTCATTGACTTTGCTTGTCAGAAGCCAGTGTGAAGGTGGCAATCACATGGCCCTGAGATGTCATAAATTACATACTGGTTGCCAAGTGCCCAAAGTTTGGTCACATAGTTGTAGGATGTAGCAATGCTTATAAGTGCAAGAACTGGTCATAAGTCACTTTTTCAATGCCGTTGTTATTTGAACAGTCCTAAATGAATGATTGTAAATTGAGGATTACTTATATGTTTTGTGTGTCTCTGTAACACGAGTTGATAGTTCTTGATATCTCTAATATGAAAAAATAAAATGATGTCTTTTAATTGACAAAAGCAAATCTGTACAAGGAAAAATATGAAATATTGGTGTAAACCAAGTTCATCTTAATGGACTAAGGTATGAAAGAAACAATTGCCATGAATATGCTGACTAGGAAGAATTAATTTATAGAAGTAATTTTAATGACATTTCTTAGCATTTATCCTAGAAACATTTCAAGTGGAAAGTTTAAATTCCTTTAATTGTTATACCATGCAGAAAGATTAATCAGGTTTACTACTTGTTTTTTGTTTCTTTGTTTGTTTGTTTCGAATGTCATTATTTTCAATCTTTATTTGACTCTTAATTTGACCTAAAAAAGCAATTTTATATACATTTAGGTTAGTATTATTTTTTAATATTTAAAGTGATAAACAGTTAACAGTTAAACTCATTTTTGTTTCAAGGTAGTGAAAAATGCTATATTGATGGAAATGAACAATTTGGGAAAAGAAGCTGGCCTTAAGACCTTTGAACAAGTAAGTAATTACCTAGGAAATTGCTGAAGATGATGGGTTTTGTGAGGAATTCAAAGAAGAATCAATGGAGAAACTATTGTTTTCTCCGTATCATATTTCAGCTCCTGCTATGATGAACACCTAAAAGTTGTGTTGTCCCTAAATTCCCCTTCTATTTTGCTCCCGAGATTTGATATGCAAGATGAAGAATTGTATAATCCTTTGTGTTGAAAAGATGCTTGATTTCATAAACAGAAAAGTGCTACAATATCTAATTTAGAACAGACTCTAATACCAGGATATGTTTGTGATCATAATCCTTCGCACATATTATGATTCCTAGATGTTCTAATGAGGTCAAATTGATCTTATCTTTTGCAATGGGTTTCCAAAAGACTTCAGAATATTTAATGGCATATTTCTGGTATTCTAAAATACAGAATTTGAACCTCCATTCTTGGCCTTTGACAAATGGCACACAATTAATACAATAACTATGTTTTGGAGGAATTATTGGATTGTAATGCTTCATTTCCCATATTATTCCAAATTGAGATAGCCCTTGGACTCCAGTTATGATTATAAATTCAGTGCAAGATAAGTAAGAAAATGAAATAATGTTATAGACCAGGCTTGTTAAACTGGCGGCCTGCAGGCTGGGTGCATCACACGCAGGCCATGCCCAACCCACAATGACAAAAAAATTGCGATACGCCACGTGACGTGATTTTGACACTTGTACTATAGACTGTCCCCTCTGTTACGCTATTCTTTGATTTAACATTTGTCAGTAAAATGCTAATGCCCTTCATGGTACTTATATGTGTCAAACATTTTTAATTATGACAAAATATTTTCTCCACCAGGTGAAATACATCTACCTTCATCCAGAACTGTTTACAGTCGAAAACGGACTCTTAACTCCAACACTGAAATCAAGAAGATCAGATCTCGTCAAACACTTCAGGAGTCAAATTGATGCTCTTTATGCTTCTGACATGTAAAGGAATGAAGGCCACCTTGATTTGAACATATAGACAGGGGATTATGAAAGTGCCTAACTGGCAAAGGAAACTCCTAAAAGAAACCAATAAACATACTTTATGTGTATTGTTAGGAGGTTAGAGAGTCCCATTTAGTGTTACATGCCCAGGAAGACAAAGCAGACTGAACTGGTTTCAATTATTTAAAACCCCTGGGGAAACTACATTTTATTTTATTGTATAATCCTAATTGAAATGGAAAAGTATTGAATTGTTAAAAAACTGAACTTACGGGAAAACATTGAACTCTATCACACTATTAAGAGAACATCATGACATTGTACTTGTTTGATTGAGTTGCAATACACTAGATATTAACTGCATAACAAAGATAATGTATTATATAATGTTTGGGGGATTCTGTCATATCTTAAAAACTGTAAAATGCACTTCATTTACCTATAGGATGTACCACTCATAGATAAGCACTTACATTTATTGTATGTATGTTTTAAATTGGTATATCCAATTCTGCTAAAGCACAAAATGACTATATTTGCTAACTGAAATTTGCATATGAAAAATAAAAACCTAGTAAAAGAAAATATCCTAAAAATATTTGTCAATTTATCTATATACAAAGACATTTGGAATATCCCAAAAGTTGAACTCATGGTTAATTTTAATTTTACAGTGGGTTTACACTGTAGCCAAACAAACCACATGATATAATGATCTAAAATATAAATAAGATAAACAATTTTTTTCTTTGAACATAACTAATTTATTTCATTGGTGTCTAGATAGAATAAGTAAATATACTGTTTGCTTGCAATAATTAAACAATTCTTCATTTAAACTTATTTAAATTTTGACAGGTTCATAATTATTTTCAATTTCTCAATGTCTTAGTTCTAATTTATAATTGCAATCTAAATTAAAATTTAATAACCATTTAGTTAAATAGAATATATTTTGTATATCTCACTTGAGATATTACCAAGCATTGCAAAATAGTCCATTTCACAGTCACAAATTGATGATTTTAAGTATTTTCTATACTATTACAGACCTGAGATGATTTTCATGAAGTACATCAGGCATCTTTGCCAATCACAGATGCTAAAATAAGGTTCAGTACAATTTCAGGGACAGGATTAATGGAAAAAATAGGTATTTTGGGGTTGTTTTAGTAAAGGGAATTACATTTAACAAGATAACATTCCATTTTTTTAGTAGCAAAAAAATTAAACAAATTTAGACAATCAACAATGTAAACAGAACGAAAGGTCCAATGTCAATGTCATGATTGTGTCATTATACATAGTTGACTTCAAATAGGCTTGTAGGGTGGCTGCTTCATACTGATCATTTGCATTTAGGCTAAAGCAATATTTTGTTATCATCTTGAACCCATACTTTTCGCTACCCTGAAAATCATGTTCTGAATCTCAAAAACCAGCAATAGCTTCTACTAGCCTTTGGAAATTGAACATTGGAACATATTATCTTTTTTGAACAAGCAGCTTAAACTTTTTCTATATATTTTCCACCCAACTTAGTTCTGAAGCAATTCATAAAAGTTGTTCCTATAATCTTTCACATTGTTGGTACAGTTTTGTTTAATGTCACTGTTGACAAGTATTTATCCTTTTCTGTTATTAACAGCACTTTCTCCCATCTGCTCTTCTCTGAAAGACAAGTACTAAACTTTCATTCTTGCATGATGTTATAGACTAATAGCCTCTTTATAAGTGTAAATTAGATGCAGCTATAGTAGTATGTGCCACCAAAAGCAAGATCCTAGAAATGTGTCAGACAAGTGAAATGTACTAATGTCAAAATCCTTACTGAATTGGTAATTTGCTTCTCTATGAATTGTCTTCTGCAATAGGAGTTACGCTTCACCACAGCTTTCTTGACTTTCTGCCATTTTTTAATACTTCAGAGATAGTTGAGGATTTATTTTTTGAGCACAAATTCATATACTTAAATGACATCTTCAACATACATTTAACACTGACTAGCCGACCAGGCATTTCTGCATATTCTGCCATAGAGTAATATTTTCACAACTAGGTAATTTTAAGATGTGTGGGCTTCAATTCTTAGAATTCCCCAGCCACTATGCTTATTGGGGAATTCTGGGAGTTGTAGTCCCTACTTCGTATACTTGTCAAGTTGGAAAAGCACTGCTGTAGAGGAATTTATTTCTTACCTTGAGAAGGAGATGGGAAAGGTAAAATGTTTATCAGACCTGAAGAGTAGAAAGAGCAGCCATATATTGGCCTATTGTCTTTAAAAGGGGTTTGTGTGCAAAGGTTTTGGATAAGCTTTCAATATATATTTCAATTAAACAATAAAGACAATCCTGGAATCCTTGTGATGTTTGGTTTTTGACCTGGCCTACTTGAAGAGTTAACTACAATCAAATTATACTTCTCTATTTCAATTTTTAATACTTTTTTAATGCATGCATTTGTTTGATTATTGAATTTAACTGTAGAGTCTCATAGAAACTTGTCCTGAGGAGTATGTAAAAAACTTATAGTTTATCAGAAAGTTCAGATGTTGACTGAACATTACCTTCAGGAGGAGGAAGAAAGCAAGTGCTACAATTTACCCCTGCTGATTGGACATAACACTTCATTGTATCTATAGGTACCAGCCTGGAAAAAGTAATATAGTCATAATTTGATGCCACACATTATACTATACAAAAGCAAACAGCACTGTCATGGGTTAACATGTTGTGTGAATTGTTATCTGGTTTTGTTATTTTGTTGCAAAAATTCAGCAATATGTTCATCTCTAAAAATGCACCAAACAGCAAATATAACCTTTTCTATTTTATTTTTAATAAAAATCACATGATATTAAAATTAAAAAAAAATCCAAAGCATCAGCTAAGTCAACTCAGCTGCATTCATTCACATAGTCCTTTCAACTTTCATGATGGCAACAGAATAATGTTTTGAGGAATGTAAATAACAGGAATATATTTTTAAGTGAGGAGTACTTAAACATCAGACAAAATGTAGCACATATGTTTCTTAAGATTATATAATAAAATTAAATTTAAAAATCAGGTCAAATGTGCTCTATATTGTGAAAGCTTTAATATGAAAAAGCGTCCATGGAATGGTTTCCTCCCTTTTAAAAATGGCAAAAGATGATTAGTAGTATAGCACTGAAGCTCCCATCCTTGCAAACACACATAATATGATCTATGTTCCATACATAAGAATATATATAGAATATTCAAGTAGAAGGACAGTGGTCCAAAGCAAACTTTTCCAAGTTATCACAAGGGTTATCTTGCTTTCTTTTCTGCATCCAACGGCTGATCTGATTCAGAATCATACAGGCATTTTTCCACACATTTTCTTGGGAACCAACCTCTGAGTCTCTCCCCATCTAACAGTGAGAAAAAACAGCAGAAATAAAAAACAGTATCACTTGCAGATTTTTCCTCCCTGTCCCATCATTATGCACTCTTGAGCCTTGTCGAAAACTGTGTAACATCTGCAAAACTAAACTCTTTTTTCAGTTTTCACAATTTTTCTTCAAGATGTAAGGTATGACTTAGATTTTGTCTATATTAACCATGTTGCTGTAGGAGTTGATTTTGAAGCATTACGTCTTGCATGTGAAAGGATAAAGAATGTTTCTTCTATGACAGTATCTACCATCCTTGTTTTAACAACTTGAAAATAAATGAAGTTCCTAATAGCACAAACCTACAGATGTCAGACTTGAAGTATATCCCATCATCTCTAAGGAAATATATTTAAAACTGCACTCTTAATTATTTAATCCAGCTGTTTAAATCAACTCAATTTTCTAGTTTCTAGATACACTTTTGGAATACTCTAAATTCTAAAATGCTGGAAGCTGGACAAATTATCTATTTGGTATAATGGCATAGTACCTTTCTATCTTTAAGTAGGGATTTGTACCACAGATTTTCCTAAGTAGAATCCCTTAATTTCCTGTCCTCCAAGTCTGCTGAATTCATATTAAACTATTTCAGATTGGCTTTTCGAATTTTTGTTAAAGTTTTAATGGATTTTGCATTTGGAATCACTGAAAATAATGTACTTAAGACATAAAATGCATTTAAACTACATTATGAAATTAAAATAAGATACTCTAACTTTGAAACAAAGTAATTACCATTCGTTGGCAGGTCAGTAATTTTGTCGCCATACATCCAGTGCCAAAAAATAATAAAAAAAGAATAAAGAATTAAAAAGACAGTACTTGTTTACCTTTGCAATGTTTTTAAAAGTTGAAGTAATCATATATAGAGATACTAACTTCAGTCCTCGGGTGGCTAAAATGTGGTCTCCCTTGTGAAGGGCAATTCTAGGTTCTTCAGTGCATGGAGTCGTACAGAAAGTCCTTACACCTTTCGTGACAGGGCAAAAGGCACCATTATAGTCTTCGATTGCTTGGTACCGTACCTGGAAAATTTGAATTTAAAAAAAGTTGCTTAAGAGAATTTGCTGGTTTCAAACAATTGATTATAAAATTGTAAGAAGGCTGAGAAATTTTAGAATCAGATTATTTTTGTTGGTTCAGAAAATTTCGAGACTTTTTTTAATATGTGACATTGGCAAGCAATGCTGTTATAAGCTCAAAGATGGAAATAATATATATATATACAAAATGAAAGAAAGAATTTTGAAATTAATGGATCCTAGTCAAGATGGTGAAATAGACTGCTTTGCTTAGAGACAATAATTTGTCTAAATTTCATGCAACGTGAAGGCCATTGTTAGATTTCTTTCAAGATAAACAAGAGAACCAAGATTTGGGTTTTGAAGAATAGATTGGATTTGCCTAGAGAAATATCATAGCTTTTTAAATAGAAAGTTATTTATATTTCATAATTTACTATCTTTTAGATGAAATTAATATTCAATGAATAGTATGTTGCAATTAGTTTTTTAAGATATTTTATAAACTGATGTTATTTGTTTAAGAGTGGCTGTTATATTTACTTGATATATAATATTTTGTCACTTTCAATTTGTTTGGTCATTCCTTTTCCCTTTCTGTTAATTTGTATTTTAATGTTTGATGTTCCAATATAATAGAAATAAAAATAAAATATATTAATGAGCAGCTGGAATTATATAAATCACCTTCACTTTTTTTTTAGATGCCAAAACTTTTTCTAATTGTTGTCACTGTGTAATTATACATTATTTTGATATCTAGGTTTTCAGACAGACGTGAATTATCTGACTTTCCCTCCCACCTCCATTTCACAATCTTATAGTAAATGTCTATGGTTAGAAACCAGCACCTGCATAGGAAGGTGTTCTTGAATGTAGCAACTTTCCTTTGTGCAAGTAGAAGAATTTTCAGATCAAATAAAGAGAAACAAATACGTCTAAGGAAACAGTTGCTGTTTGTACCTTTGAAGAACCAGCAATTGCTATTGGAAAATAGTTTTGCTATGAATTCTTATGTGTAGTCTCCATTGTAAACCATAGTTGCTGTTCTTCAGGAAACTATAGTAACATTGGGTTTAGGGGTCTCTACTTAACGTTTGTATTATTACACTCAATCTTTATGAAATGAACATCACACAAATTGCAGAAATAAATAAAGTGCATGATGAAGGAAACACATGAAGATGCTTTGGAAGAATTTTGAGTAGTCAAATAGGAAGCAGGGGTTGAAATGTTATAGAGAAATTTAGGGTGTTTAAAAAGCCATTATGTCTCTTAGACATCACTCAGACACTTAGACAGTACTCAGAAAAGAACAATGCTATAGAAAGTTTTTGGGAGGAATGATAAGATGTAACAAGATATTATGTTTGGAGTGGGTGAACTTAATTTTATCTTTTTTAAAAAATGTATACTGACTCGATGTTTCGAAAATAAAAGATTTGTGGAGTATTATAATTTTATCTTGTTATCTGTCAACTATTTGCTCAAAGGTAACATATGAGTTGCTAGAGAACCAGTTTGGTATAATGGTTAGGGCATCAGATAGAAACTGAGTCCATATCTTCTAGCCCCATTTTAATCACAAAGCCAGTTGTTGTCTCAGCCTTAGGAAGGAGGCAATGGCAAATCACTTCCGAAATCTTGCCCACAAAGAGGCAAGACTGAGGCATCCAAAAAGAATTATTGAGTATATGATTAAGGTGGAAATCTATAAGTATCCAGAATGTATACAGACATAAAGCTCTGCAAGGGAATGGCTTCTCCCATCTGCTTGACAGCTTTGACCGACTGGAAAGCAACTGTTTTACCAGAGAAGTCATGGTCTGTAGTGTAAAAATGAACTATTGATCTAATTGTTTGATATAAGTCTAATTTATAGGGTTCTATTCTGTAATAAGCTAGGTTAGTCAAATGATTGGTATTACTTATTATAGACAAAAATTATATTTTTTGTCAGGAAATGTTATTGGAGTTCTAAGATTTCAGGAGATATGTCTAAGGGAAATATTTGTTCAGCATTTTCAATGCATTCCATAACTGGTAGGTTAATGACTAACCAAAACAGAATCAATTAAAATTTTCAACACAGAGAAATAGCTCATAAGCAATTATTTAGAATTTCTTTTTCTCTTTTTATTTGATTCTTCTTTCTTGGTTCTACTTCTTCCCACTGAGCTAAAGGCATTTATAATATCACACACATCTTACAATAAATAAATTACCACACATCTATAGAAATAACAATACTTTATGCCATAATGGCATTATTACAGTTTACTATTTTACCCAACATAGTGTTCTAAAATGAGACATGAAACCATGCAGTTCTTAATTTTCAAAGCGATATTATGCTAAGATCAATATGGCAATATAGACAGCAATGTGATGAATTGCTGATCACTTACACTTCTCACTCTCTTGTCAGCTTTCTGTTTTAACTGTTCAATCTGAAAGATATGAAGCAGCATTTTAATAAAGCCAATTTTTCAATGCATTTACTTCACATTTAATTGTAGGCGTGTAAAGGAAAAACAAGGGAAAATAGCATACCGTTAAACTGTATTGATGGCAGCCTTCTCTTATAGGCCATTCCAAGCCATCTCCGTCTGGATTTCCAGACCATGTAAAGACTTGCTTAAAGTTATCCCATTTGCTTCCCAGGTCATAAGGAAATACAAAGACTTCTTTTGTTTGATAATACTGAATGCGGTCTTTGGCCTGCAAGGAATGTATACAAATACAGTTGACAAGGAAAAAACCCTCTCAATTACATGAATATATTAGATTTCTAACATGGAGAAACTTTCATGTTACCCAATATTTAAATTTGTGATTATTGTAGTAAAAAATTAGAAAGGTTCAACTAAGATAAAAGAGAAATCCCAGGACCCATACAAGACAAAGGGATTTTTTGCCTTGTCTGCAGATTGCTATACTATTTGATATAATGCTAGAGCAGTAGCTGCAAATAAGAACAGAGAGGACAAAACACCTCTATATTATCTATCTAAGCAGAACTGTGATGTTTTGATAAGTGTGATGTGAGATGGCATATTTTAACTTGTTATTTAAATACAGTGGAAATTTTTTTAAATCACACATTAGGCCAAAATATTATTGGTTCAATTTATATTGAGTATTAAAAGAGATAGTCCTATTTCAGAAGTATTCAATAAAAAATAGTTGCATTTAGGTAGGAAAATAGCTTCCTTTACAATAAATCAAACAATTTTGATTTCATAATCTTTCACAGTGTTTCTTAAAAGCACTGTGCTGCTTCACATTAAAGTTCTTTACTGTATACTGACCTCTAGTGATGCAATGATATCACATATTAAAATTTATTTCTGGAATTATTTCTCACATTATTCTCAGAATGGATGTGGGAGGTGTTGAGTCATGTCAGTGGTTGTTACAATTCTTCCCTGAAGGTACAGGGAGACAATTCTCTTTCTGAGTTTCTACGTGTACAATGGAATGGAGAGACCTTACCAATAAAAGTAACCAGAAACTAATTTTATGCAAAACCATTGTTTGTTTAACCATGACTTACTTAATGACAAAAGGACAGCCAAGAGAAGTGAGTAATTTAAACAATTTTACAAGTTGGCTTAAACCCAACATTTAAAAGGCAACAGTGGTCATATGTGCTAAATTCTTCTTGTGATGAAAGATCTTAGAAAATGTGTGAAAAGGTCGTAAAAGACCCTGGCTTAATTAAATCATATTAAATCACAGTACTGTTTAACAACAACTACTACAAACTACTACCTCTGTGGCATAATATATATTTAAATGAGTATGAGAATAATTATTTTTTACCTTTTCTTCAATCCATGATTCTATTGAAGTTTTATTCCTTAAAATGATTTTCATCTAAAAAAAATTACAAAGATTAGCTCATGCCTGAAGTGAGAAAATAGAAACTCATTCCACAGAAATTGCATTAAGAGCACTAGATCAAAAATGGAAAACAGGAAACCTTTAATGTTTATAATTTGAATGAATATTGCAATGTAAAATGTAAAAAACTTTGTAGATAAACAAGTAAATGGTATTTCTGGATTCAGTATACTCAAGAATACTTCTTCTATCCATTCCATCCATCCATTGTCCCATTTATTTTTTATTCCTAAACTAGCTGAACCCACCAACTACCAAAGTCTTGACATCATAAATAGTATGGCAAATAAGCATAAATGCAAGAACCTTATATTTCCATAGATGCACTGATGTTTAGTTTTACTTTAATTTTTGAGAGTAAAAATCTCCAGGAGTCATCTGGAAAGTTTTGAATTTGTAACAAACACATGTCTCCCTATTATTCTATTATTCCATGCCTTTGGTTAAATTATAAGCAATCTTAGGATTTCATTAATGTGCACTGCTATTTATTATTGTGCATCTGAACTCTTTTGTAACATCTGAACCAGGGGTGAAATGCTGGTTCGGACCGGATCACCCGATCCGGTAGCGATGGCGGCAGGTGGTTCGGAGAACCGGTAGCAAAAATCCCTCCCCACCCCCATGCCCAGCTGAGCCGCATGATCTTCAGAGGCTTTTTATTTTATTTTTAAAAGCATTTTTTCTACAACCTCTTTGGCCGAAAAAATCCTTTTAAAAGTAAAAACAAAGCCTCTGCCGATTAGGCAAGTCAGCTGGGATGGTCAGAGGTTTTTTTTTAAAAAAGAAAAGCCTCTGCCAATCAGGCAAGTAAGCTGGGACCGTCCGAGGCTTTTAAAAGCATTTTTAACAACCTCTTCAGCCGAAGAGGTTGTAGAAAAAATGGTTTTAAAAGTAAAAAAAAAACAAGTTGTCCATGCCCACTCAGTCATATCACCCGCCCACCAAGCCACGCCCACAGAACCGGTAGTAATAAATTTTTCATTTCACCGCTGATCTGAACATCTGAACCTAAAGTAAACCATCACTTACTTCCTTTTGTTTTTACACCGGGAAAATCCTTCCCTCTCATACTATTTCTTTCAGACATAAATGCCTTTCTTCTGTAGTGCTGCACAAGAAGCAGCTACTAGAAGAAAATCTTGGCAGTATTAAGTTTTTGTTTTTCGAGAAGCGCAGATTCAGAATTTTCGTATATAAGTCTCAAAATTTGTTTTAACTTAAGGAAATGATAAGAATCATTTTAAATGAAATTACAACTTTTCTTACTGGGTATAACCCCAGAAAAAATAAACAAAAATAATAAGTTATAACACACAGCAGTGAGAATAAATTTTGTTCAACACTGAAAGAAAGATACAATTCCAAAAATATCTGACTGGAAACTTAAACTTGGAGAATATATAGCAATGGCAAAACTAGCAATACATATACAAAATAAAAATTTAATCAAATTTAAGTAAAAACAACCCCAATACACAATACTTTACACAGCATGCCAAATATGATATAGTCTGGTTTCTAAGGAGGCCTAAATATCTACAAATATTGTAAGTTAGCAATTGTATAAAAAGGAAGAAGTTAGAAACTCAATAATTTTTCTTTCTTTCTTGAAATTTCAAATCTTCTTAAATTTGCTTTGCCTATCAATCTATATAAGAATATGAGAGATAGATAGATAAAGATAGACAGACAGACAGATAGACAGACAGACAGACAGACAGATACAAAGAGAAAGGGAGTATATATTAAGTAACACAACAAAATATTAACTAATCAGTACAAGACTGAAACTGAGTACAAGAAATACTCTGATTCAATTCTGCAGGGGGGTTTTCTTCTTTAATGTTAAGTCTGGATAAAAAGTCAAATAATATTATGCTTGTAATATTGATAATCTACATTGTAATTAATATCGATAGAATACTTCTTTCTCTTTCCTCTATTTGCAACCTAAATCATCTAACCAAGACTGTCAATAATCTTCAATTACTATTGCATACATAATATTGTACCAAAACAATGCATTGATTTACAAAAGCATAAAAAAAGGACAAAAGGAATTGTTCTGTTGTTTTACTACCTTATTAAAGCCTCCCTTTCCTTAACACTGTTCTCCTTCCTCTGCTGAGATTTTCACTTGAAAAATTATGGATAAATATATTTAAAAAAGGAAAAGGGAAATCCAAGTCTACCCTGAATACCCTGGATGAAATCTACATAGCTTCCATTCCTGCTTTATATACAGTGGAGTAAAAATGTCAGCTGCCAATCAAGCATCACCCGCACATCCATGAGAACAGGTTTTTTTATAGCAGAAGTGGGAGATCCATTGGCGTGAATAGTCATACTGAAGTCTTATGTAGCATGTCAAAACTTACACATTGCAAGAAATCCAGAATGGCAGGAACGTCTTAGCTAGTAGGACAACATACTCATACATTAACACATCTACATTAGGGCCATGTGAAACAGTTTGATTAAATTATCCCTTCAAATTAAAACTAAAATCACTGAATTGACTCATAGCATAGATCAAATAAGGAACATTTGTAATTTTGTACGCACATATGCACTAACTTTTAGTAACTCAAAACAAAAAAAAAAAAAAAGAATTCGTTTTCACTTCTTTGAACTGAATCACAAATTCCAATAGGATTCTAGTTGATTTCTACATGTTAACATCTTTCTTTCTTTCTTTCTCTCACATCCACAAATACATATATGCATGAAGTCTTTGTTACTGATGAACATTTGAAACAGGAAAAAAAAGCTGTTTAAGAGATAAAGTTATGAAATTTAGCTTTGTTTACAGGTACCTCCCATTTATGTAAAGAAAGCATGTCTTTCCTCTGTTGCACAACTGATCATCTGTACAAAGACTCTTATCTCTACTCCCTTTAGGCTTCTTTAATCATAATGCTCATGATTATGAAATACACTGCAGCTAGACTGGAATTTCAAATTGCTGATTGGATATTTAAAACTACAGTCCAGAATTAAGAGAAAATAAGATGCTATAAGGCACTGAGAACTGTCTCCACCCTTTGAGCACCGGAACATCTCGTCAGAACATCTCTGTATCTGACTCACCTGGATAACAAACAACATTCCAACCGCTAGTGTAGTACCTAATGCCAGTCCCAGGGCAAATAAAGAGGCAGCAAATGCAGACAACTCAAAAGGAATTATTGGGCGGGGATCCCTCCTGGCTGCACTCATATCAATTTTCACAGAACTCCAGCCAAAGGAGACCTGTTAAAAAGAAACAAAAGAGAAGAAAATTAGTAAGCAGCCAGCTGAACAGTTAATCTGCAGCAAGAACTCTCTAGTCTTAACTCTTTATTGATAGAAATTCAATCTTCAATCAGAGGTGTTTCCATAGTTTATGCCTAAGCCAAAAGTTATATCTTACCTGAAGGACATACAGAATCTGATTTATTGGAAATGTGATTAGTAAGATAGGAATAAATGACAGAGATACTGAATGCACCAGACTTATAGGTAACTTAAAGCTAAGCATTCTGGAAAAAAAAACCCAGTAAATTCAATCCAAATTCTTTCTTTAATTTGCTGTATTTTTCAATGGTTCCTAATTTCATAAGATGCTTTAAAATAGAATAACCAATTTATTGAATGACATTATCCACAATCTATTATTAGTGACAGAGAGGCAGTTGCAAAATGTAGCACAGAGTGCAATTTCTGAAGAAACATACTTTCCCTACCTTTAAGGACATAGACTCCTTTCTGATTAATTAATTATTTAATTAAATTTTTATGCCACCCATCTCCCCTATAAAGTGACTCTGGACTTTAAATTAGGTTAGTGAAATATATTATTTATTTATTTTATTTATTTATTCGCATTTCTATACCGCCCTTCTCCTTTCGGACTCAGGGCGGTGAACAGCCAGATAAAAAACATCTATACAAACATCACAATTAAAATAAAATTAAGATAATTTATAAATTTGGCTCATAATTTAAAACTTGTCAATTAAAATAAATATTAAAATTTTAAAAATTTTAAAAACTAACCCTAAAATCAGGACAGACCAGCTAGTTGAAAAAAATGAGTTTTTAGGGCCCGACGAAAAATCCGGAGGTCGGAGATCACTCGTATCTCTGGGGGTAGATTGTTCCATAGGGTAGGTGCCACCACAGAGAAGGCTCTCCTCCTGGGGGTCGTCAGCCGGCATTGTCTGGCCGACGGCACCCTGAGGAGACCCTCTCTGTGGGAGCGAACCGGCCGGTGGGAGGCTATTGGTGGCAGAAGGCGGTCCCGTAAGTACCCTGGCCCTAAGCCATGGAGCGCTTTAAAGGTAATCACCAACACCTTGAAGCGCACCCGGAAGTCCACCGGAAGCCAATGGAGCTCGCGCAGGAGAGGAGTCACATGGGAGCGCCCCGTCGCTCCCATAATCCCCCGCGCAGCCGCATTCTGCACCAGTTGGAGCCTCCGGGTGCATCCCAAGGGGAGCCCCATGTAGAGAGCGTTACAATAGTCCAGACGAGAAGTGACGAGTGCTTGAGTGACCGTGCGTAGGGAGTCCCGGTCCAGAAAGGGACGCAACTGGCGTATCAGGCGAACCTGACAAAAAGCCCTCCTGGCCACGGCTGTCATATGCCCTTCTAAGGACAGCCGCGCATCCAGGAGGACACCCAAGTTGCGGACCCTCTCTGTGGGGGCCAATGATTCGCCCCCAATAACCAGCGATGGCGTCAGCTGGCTATACCGGGACGCCGGCAGCCACAGCCACTCGGTCTTGGAAGGGTTGAGTCGAAGCCTGTTTCTCCCCATCCAGACCCGCACGGCCTCCAGGCACTGGGACATCACTTCCAAGGCATCATTGGGATGGTCTGGGGTGGAAATGTACAGCTGAGTGTCATCAGCGTACTGATGGAACTCCACCCCAAAACCACGGATGATCTCACCCAGCGGCTTCACATAAATGTTGAACAGGAGGGGCGAGAGGACCGACCCTTGCGGCACCCCACAAACAAGGCGCCTTGGGGTCGACCGCTGCCCCCCTGTCAACACAGATTGCGACCGGTCGGAGAGATAGGAGGAGAACCACCGCAAAACAGTGCCCCCCACTCCCAGTCCCTCCAGCCGGCGCAACATGATACCATGGTCGATGGTATCAAAAGCCGCTGAGAGGTCTAATAGGACCAGGATAGAGGAATAACCCCTATCCCGGGCCCTCCAGAGATCATCCACCAACGCGACCAATGCCGTTTCCGTGCTGTACCCAGGTCTGAAGCCGGACTGGAGCGGATCCAGATAGACAGCTTCATCCAGGTACTGGGGAAGCTGTCGCGCCACCACACTCTCAACAACCTTCGCAATAAAGCGAAGGTTGGAGACTGGACGATAGTTAGCCAAAATAGCCGGATCCAGGGATGGCTTCTTGAGGAGAGGCCTCACCACCGCCTCTTTCAAGGCGGCCGGCAGGACCGGCAGGACATATATCATATATATGGAAGAATGACTACTTCTGGGTCAGATAAAGAAAGAATAAAGGATCTGGAGCAAAAAACTACAATCTTCAAGAGTTCCAGACTGTCAGTATGAAGAAACTTAGTAGACAAAAAAATGTAGTAGACAAAAAAATGTAATTTTAACTACAGCAAGTATAAGATAAGGTAGAATTATGAAAGCTGTTCTTCCGAAAGCGAATTCATACAATTCTGTGTATGTTTTAAAGAAGCAAAAAACAGTATTTTCTTACCCTGTTATAAAGCTGCGTATACATGGTCATGACAAAAATAAAAGCAGCGTGAATACAGCCCAGAGGGGCTAGCAGAAGAAAAAGTGTAAATGAGGCATGATTCTGAAATCCACAGCAGTTATTAATCCATGGACAGTGGTGATCCATCTTCATCACACACCTAAGAAGCAAATCCAAGTTTAATACAAACACAGCGACTGGCAGCCATTCCTATTCTCATTCATCACATATTACTTGATGTCTAAAAGAAGCCTTAATTTCAGACAACACTGATACAGTAAAAAAGCTGTAAGTGTAACATGAGGAATGTGACATGGGTTTTATTTTCACATTCTATAAAATATATGAAATGATTTGAGGGGGGTTATTGTTACATAAGTAAATAAGTATTAACTTTATCCAATGAACAGTATTTATTAGCAATAGTACCTGTTACATTTTCGGCAGTGATGTGAACGTGGTGCTTTGTAAGATTGGCATATTTTACAGTATTGAAGATACATGGAGTCCTGAGCGTTTTCCTAAAAACAAAGCAGTATATATACACACAGACAAACACATACATACAAATAGAAAATGATAAAAGAAACAAGTATCTTATAAAGTTCATCTATGCATTAAAGCAGAATTTCAGGAAGTAAAACATCTATAACAACTTTCCTGCTGAGGAACAAGCCTAATGCACAAGAACAAAAAATCAATGTAAATGTGTAAGGGTGGTGGAATTGATAAACTATAATCTCAGATATATTGCCACCTTGTTCAATGAGTTTTATCTGCAAGCTGCGTTACTCACTATAACCTGTTTTTTCCCCAGAAAGAAACCAGTTTTTTTTTTAGGTATCTCTTGCTTAGCTAGTAATATCCAGTGAAGAGATGTATCTGGTAGGAGTCAGACTATTATATATTCAACAAGTATCCACAAAAGTGCATAGATTAATTTCCCACTGGCTCCCATTTTGCTTTCATTCTGCAGATCCAAAAATTAGGTTTCCTAAGCCATTGCCTAACATAAAATCAGGACGCTGAAATATTATTTTAAGGGGGTGGGGGGTGGGGTGGATATACCATATTGTTATTTGCTTACTGGTTTCCATCCAATAGGAACATATCCAGGGCCAACAAACATGGCATTGAAGTAGTTATAAAGGATCATAATAGTCCAATTGATGAGCATGATGAAATTAATACTTCCTCCTGTTGTATCCAAAGGCCAGTACCACAGGACTGCATCAATGATAGCCATAGCAGAACATATTGCTATTACACTAAGTGCTATGATTGGTCCCCAGTGGCATAGTCTTTTCAGTTCATAGAGATTTTCAAATCTAATGATTGAACAAAACATTCCCATGCTGCATTCAAGTTGATTCTTATTTCATTCAATTTCTTTCAGGAACACATTTCCACTTGTCATACATTTTCATCTCTACTTGAATGGTAAGATGTCCAAACACTAATTTTGAAGCTGGATTTAAGCCATTTTTCACATTTGAAAGAATCATCAACTACAGGAACTCTTCATGAGTTTTCTTTTAAAACCTGAGCAAAAAAAAAAAAAAAAGGAAGAAAATTTCCAACTGCAGCAACTACAAAATAAACATTGTTATTAGAAACAAATTGATTTGGAGCAACAGACCATGGTTCACTGGCAGAAAAATGGGCTATAGAGCACCCCACTCCCTGTTCTTTCTTCTCTCTCTGTCATAGTCATACTTTTGGCTCTGATCCTCATTTTGTATGAGTGTGTGCGTGTGTGCTTTTTATTTTAAAAAAATCAGCTGATATCTGAACTGGAAAATTGATTCCAAGTTTGTTACATGTTAGAATAATTGGTAAATATTAACAAGATTATACCTTTTCTGTCCAATGTGGACCGTCTAGTTAATTATTTTGTTTAGTGATGCAAACATGGTTTATGAAGCAAATCCTGAAGAAATAATTTTAAATGTCACATTTCAAATACTCTTCAATTCCTCATCCTCATCAGTTCCTCATTCTAGGAAACAGCCCAAGAACTAATTTCAAATGCAAGTAAGAATTTAGATATGTTTTTTCTTAACGTATATGTCATACAGCAGGAGAAAACTTCAAAAATTGTTTGTGGCACTGCAGTGAAGTTAGCTCTTCATGTGGGAAATTGCCTAGGCTAGCAGAAGTTGCTGTTTTTGTCTATTTAGGCAATTTCTTTTTTTTTCCTGGCAAAAATGTAATAAAGTAACCAAGTATCTATTAAGCATCTGAAAATGTGGACAGCTTTCCACTACAAAAACGTTTTGATTTTTCACAAAGAAGAGAACAATCTGGTAGTCCACCATTAACTAATAATGAAAAAAATCCCAAGTATTAATTCAATGACATTCCAAGTAAGTTCAAGAACAATAGGATAACTTATGGGCTCTGTGACACAAATACTGCTGGTAGATATAACTATTTGCTATACCTCCCTAGGAGTACAAGTAATTTTCAACTTACAACAGTTCACTTAGTGACAATTTGAAGTTACAACGATGTTGCAAAAAGTGACTTAGGACCATTTTTTCACACTTACAACCACTGCAGCATCCCCATGGTCATATGATCAACATTTAAATGCTTTTCAATTGATTCATATTTATGACGGTTGCATCGTCCCAGGGTTACGTGATCCCCTTAGGCAACCTTTTGACAAGGAAAGTCCATAGGGACGCCAGATTCACTTACCAACTGTCTTATTAACTTGACAACTGCAATGATTCACTTTACAACTGGGACAGTAAAGGTTGTAAAATGGGGCAAAACTCACTTAACAAATGTCTCACTTAGCAACAGAAATATTGGGCTCAGTTGGAATAGTACCTTGAGGACTATCTGTATTTAAACAACTCTGCTGTGGTCAATTACACTTCGTCACTGCTCTACGACCAGAAATTTTTTTTTGATTTGCAATACACCCTAGCAACTTTTCCACATGAAGTTAATTTATGCAGAATGCTTATGTAAGTAATTAAATGAAACAACGAAGAAGATCCCAGGGAGTGAAATCCTTCCCCGCTTATTAGCTCAGAAAAAAAGCATCTCTGTGCCTGGAGCATCGCAATACAAAATTATAGCACGGAGTTCGTTTCCCTTTCTTTACGTACACCGAAGTCCAAGGAGGGCGCAACAGGCAAGTAGTTCAACAGGTGAAGCGCGGGCTACGTCTGCTTCTCTGCCTATTTCTCTGCCTCTTTTTCGCAATTTCAAGGCCAGGGAAAGCAGAAACGAAAACCCTCTTCCTCCTCCTCCTCCTCCTCTCAAGGGTAAAACAGCTGACTGGCGAAGGCTCAGCAGGCAAAGTAAAAGCAAAGGCTGATCGCGGCGCAGCCTCTCCCCATCCTCCCACGCTTAGGTTAGAAGGAGGGAGAGAAGGATCTGTAATCCCTTTGCTTCGAACGGAAAGGTCCGATGTCTCTGCGACCGCCGTCAAGGCAGGACACCGCGCGGCTTACCAGCGACGAACCCCAGCCTGCTTGGTCCCGGGTATCCCCCGCTGCCTTTGCTTCAGGCAGACCCAGCCAGGGAGTCCCCCGTTGTCCGCCTTTATTTGCCGCGCTCTTTCAGCGGCTCCGTGCTCTACTTCCCCGGGACACCTTCATAAAACCCGGACATGCAATCCTTCCGTTCCGCCCTGACTTTGGAAGTGCCCTCAATAGGCTGGCAAGTGTCCTGGGGAAACACTTCCCCCCACGGACAGGAACACATTGAGCATGAAAAAAAGATATTTCGATCCAAAAACCTTCCCCGGACCGCGCAGACTTCTTATTTTCTTAGCAGCGAAACTCCGACGGACGGTCGCCCTGACTCTTTCTACCGACCTTGCCTTGCTCGAAAAGATAACCCGGTGGAGGCCGTCACCTACACGGCGTCAGTCAGGAAAAGGTGCGGGGAAGTCTGTGGGACGGGGCAAAATAGGAAAGCGGAACCTCGGCTCGCGTCAAAAGCACCCGGGAAGACCTTGTCCGTGGGACTCAATCCGGAAGTCTCCGGCGGTGACAGGAGGAGCTTTATAGCGGCTGTAGTTGAGAGTTTTGGTGTTTCGGCGGCTCGCGTAAAGCGAGGATTGCTTCCTTTGCTTCCGTCAACGGCGGGCAGTTTGGCTGCTTGGAGATTCAAGTCTAGTTTTTTTTTTCTTTCTTTCTTGGTGCTGCTGCTGCCATCATGTCCTCTGATTTCGAGGGCTACGAGCAAGACTTTTCGGTTCTTACCGCTGAGATCACGAACCGCATCGGAAAAATCCCCAAGTTGATTGGAGGTGAGTGATGGTGGGTGGGTGGCAGCCCTCTGCATCTCCCCAGCCGATGTCACGACCTGCTGCCTACCTGTCACGACTGTGGTCCTTTCGTGCCTTGATGATGTAATTAGCCTGATCATCTAAGGAAGAATCCTGCTGCTGATCTTTTTAACCCCAGGATTCTGTTTCTCACAGTCGAGATACATATGGGATGCCTACCAAGGAGGACGGCTCCTCCTCAGATGATAAATGGGATGGCTTCCTGGGATGGCCTTTTCTTTAATCCCCTGTGGTTTGTCTTGCCCTGGCTTAGCTAAGGTTGCAGATCCTATGACTCAGCCTGCTCTGAGATATTACAGGACCTGAACTGGATAGGATGGTTTCTTGTGAAAAACTTGTTGGGTTTTGAAGTTACCCTTCATGAGCCTCTCTAGAGGCAATGTATTTGTACAGAACTTGAGACAAAACACATACTGGTTGAAACAGGGAGTAGTGTAGGAGAAAAATGGGATTTTAGAACATGTTGGAAACCAATCTATGTTATATCCTTTTGGGTATTACTTTGAAGTTTAGATCACTTTGTTATTTTTTGTTCCAATTTCCCTTCATGATTACAGTTTTACTTCACATGAATAGAAATCTATGCTTTAGAAATAGAGTTTAAGCTAAAGATTCAAAGTGAGCAATGATGCCATCACAGACTGTCTTGTCAAATGCACGATTAACAATTACCTAGTGTCAAACACGAAATATGTACACAAAGGAGAGAAGCCCTTATTATGTCCTTAAACTTGCAACTTTCTAGTGGCTTTATGGATATAGCCAGGCAATTTTCTGGAAATAGTGCGGCCATGCAATTTTCTTATAAACAGTATCATTTGCCATGGCTTTCTTTTGGAATGTCTTTCAACTTCCCAGTCTCAGCCTATAACTGTGCAATTTTATGTCAGTCTTCCACAAACTACTAGCTTAACTCAATCCTTTGCTTCCAAGTTCTGCCAAAATTGGCCAGATTTCAGTAGTGCCAAGTCTTTACTAAGTATGGTTCTGAGAATAGAAATATTATTCAACTAAACATCTATTATTTTGTTTTAGATGAGAAGAGACAGTTGGTTTCAAGTGTGGAAAAGCAGTTGGAGGAAGCAAGAGAGTTGGTAAGTTGTGGAAATAGTGTATTAAATTGTGGATACTAAAGGACCGAGACTGGGAAGAGTTTTTCCTGCATGTCTTGATAACCTTGTTAGTCTATCTGGTACCCCAAAATTAGTAGTTTGATAGCATCTTTTCAGACTAACACATTTTTATTTAAAAAAATTGCTTTCATGGACTGGGTGCATGATGGTTCAGTGGTTAAAAGACACTGAGCTTATTGGCTGGAAAGCTGAATGCCTGGGTTCGAAACTTGAGTGCCATGCAACAGGGTGAGCTCCTGTTACTTACCCCAGTTCCTGGCCACCTAGCACTTTGAAAGCATGCAAATGCAAGTAGGTAAAGAGGTACCACTTTGGTGGGAAGGTAACAGCATTCTGTGCACCTTGATATACAGTCATGCTGGCACATGACCACAGACATGTCTTCAGACAATGCTGCTTCCTTCGGTAAGTATGGAGATGAACACTGCTCCCTTGAAATGGACATGACTGGAGATGAGAAAACTTTACCTTTACTTTTACAATAACTACTTTATTGTAACTTCTTAAAATTCTTTATGTTTGTTAAGTCTTTCTGAAATAATTGAGATCTTCAGTTTCAGGTTTCAGATGGTTTCAGCTATTCCAGGTCTTTAAAAGCACATTTTAAAGACATTACCATTATTAATCAATAAGGTACTTGTAATTATCTTATGTGTAACCTTCGCCTGCATAAACCCCCTGTCTTCATTTCCCTTCTCCCTGTAGCATCCCAATTGGAAACTTGGACTCTGTGCACCTGATGAAGTGAGCTATGACTCATAAAAAACTTAATAAAATAACATTTGTTAATCTGAAAAGATATTATCAAACTCCTCCAGATTATTGTATGCCTTGGAAGCTGATAGCTAGAATCAGCAAACAAAAAACCAAACAGGAATAGGGAAGATTTGTGAAGAAATTGGTAAATTTGGGGAGCTTATTTAAGGAGGTTTATTTGCATAATTGGATAAGATTATTAGGTCTTTAGGACTCAGTGGGATGTGTCTGCTTGTTTTCTGAGAACACAGTTTGAACTGAAGGCCTTACAGATGCAAATGGATCATTTATCAGATAATGAACGAGTGGATGGAGTAGCATTGCTTCAGCTAGTTTAGTCCCAAATAGCACTTTTTAGAAGAAAGTTTATGACCTAGAGGACAAACAGATTGTTTACAATTTGTTGTTTACAATTTTTACAGATTGTTTAATCTTTTACATGTGTTACAAATTGTGGCATTTCAGAGTTTGCAACATAGATGGCAAACATACAGGAAGAATCTTGTGAGAATGATACACAGTGACTTCTGTTTTCTACAGATTAGCATTATAGTTAAATTATTTAAGGAAGAGTTAACAATTGTGTGGGGTTAACATGGCTCACTTTCTATAAAAATATAAAATAAGGGCTATCATTTAAGTGGAAGAATTTATAAAGAAGGAGACCAAGTTACTAATTAAAATGAAATCAAGGAAGATGTGCTTTCCGGTATATTATATAATGTGTACGTTGTCTGGCTTCTTATCAGTTGAGCATGGATTGGGGGTTTATGTTCAGTCCAGTGAACTGACTCTCAGAGATCAAGTCAATTTCTTGAAATCCAAGATTGCTGTACTGGAGATGCTTAGATACAGTCAAAGAGGTATTAAGACACGGGTGTCAAATTTGCAATGTCACGTGATGTATCATGACTTTTCCTCCCCTTCGCTAAACTGGGGGTGGGCGTGTCCAGCGCATGACGCATCCAGCCCGTGGGCCACCAGTTTGACACCCCTGTATTAAGAGATCTTTCTAGGCGGAAGTAGTAATTAGTGCTACTCCCAGTATAATAGCTCCTTTGCCTTCAAAAAGAAGAAGAGTATTGTTTGCAGGATGAGGGAGATGTTCCTGTAGAAGTGACAAATCCCTTGGTGATGAATTCACATCAACTTACAGTCATCACACCTTTATCTCTTCTCATCTTGATTACTACAATGTGATCTATATGGGGGCTGCCCTTGAAAAATGTTTGGAAACTTCAGTTATTCAGAATGTAGTGCAAGCTGTGCTGGTTTTGAGAAGGCTTCTGGGTGCTGATTATCATCTTTTAAACCATATGTGGTACACGATGGGTATGTTCTGAATGCCCTTAGTGCAGTGTCTTCCCTGGTGCAGTGCAGTGTTTTTAATTGTATTTATTGTCTTGTATTATTAGCTGCCTACAATTATTTGCTTGAAGTGGTAGTGGGGTTATATAAATTTCCTATGTAAGTGAATAATGACAGAATAATGAAGGGCTATCAGTCTTGAAAACTCAGTTTTACATTTTGGTTGGGAGCAGTATGTTTCCAAATACTTTTTTGCAGGAGGACATCATTGAGAAAAAAAGTAAATCTAGCACTCATTGTTTGAACAGCTGAAAGGCATCTGGTTGGCTGCTATGACAAAATTTATTTTATTATTAAATTTATATGCTGCCCTTCTCCCTGACAGGGTAATTATCTATCTATCTATCTATCTATCTATCTATCTATCTATCTATCTATCTATCTATCTATCATCTATGCTGTAGACCAGGGATGTCAAACTCGATCACATCGCGGGCCATATCGTGACATCAGGATTTTTTTGCCTTTGCGGAGCTGGGGTGGTGTGGCCTGCATGGGCCATATCTGGCCCACGGGCTGCCAGGTTGATAGGCCTGCTCTAGACTATACTATACTAAAGTATGGCCTGATCTAACAGGCTTATTTTCATGTTCTTATTGTAGCCACATAACCGCTGAGCCGTATTATGCTTAAATTTAACTTTCTTGTCCAAACCAGTCAATGGTTTTAACAGTTCAGTATCAATAGTTTGTTTCTTGCTCAACTGATTGAGGGAAGCCTCCCTATGTCAGAGACTTTTCTGTAATTGTGTGTCATTGGTAAGTCTCAGATTCATACAGTGTTAATAGATGTATTGTGCAAGCATGCCATTAAGTGATTCTAAGGTGATGCTTATCTTTATTAGGGATGGACAATAGTGGTAATTCAAAGTCATGGGCAAGCTAGTGAGATTAAAGAAAAACATATTATTTTTGAAAGGATAGATGTATAGGTACCTTTTACAGTATGTGTTGCTTTTTCATTCATATTTGTAGCTCAGGATTGAGATGAGTGGTCCTTTGTGCTCTGAGCTTGGTTGTATTTATTTTATTTTTATTAATTTATATCCTGCTTTATTATTTTAACAAATAACTCAAGGCAGTGAACACATACAAGCCACCTTACTCCTCCTATTTTCCCCATAACAACAACCCTATGAGGAGAGTTGGGCTGAGAATGATTATTTCAAGGTCACCCAACTGGCTTTTATGGCTAAAGTATGTCTGTAATCTTGTTGCTGGTATCCTTAAGACTTATATTGACTGTTTCCCTATGACTATCATTAAGTGTTGTACCTTATGATTCTTGACGAATGTATCTTTCTTTTATGTACTCTGAGAGCGTATGCACCAAGACAAATTCCTTGTGTGTCCAATCACACTTGGCCAATAAAGAATTCTATTTCTATTCTATTCTATTCTATTCTACTCTTACTCTTACTCTTACTCTTACTCTTACTCTTACTCTTACTCTTACTCTATTCTAAGGTAGGACTAGAACTCACCATCTCCCAGTTTCTAGCCTGTGCCTTAATCACTAGACCAAACTGGCTTTCTATTTATTCAAAGGCCCAAATAGATAACATCATCTGTGCACTGATATGCTATATCAATGATAGCACCGATGATGTTATCTAATATGGGAAATTAAACATCTGCATAAAGACAACCAAGCTCAGAGAGTACCAGGGATCCCTCATTTCAACCCAGAGCTACAAATATTCTCGTTCATTGGTACAACTGTTATTTTTTGACTATCCCCTATTTCATTTTCCAGAAATTCTGTAATCAATATTTCTTCTTCTTTTCTCTCCATATGTTTTCTTTTTATGTGTGCCTATCCTTTTATCAGCTATACCATAAGCCTGTCAGCATTTATTTCTCTGTTAATTTTCATTTTCTTCATTATCCACGTTCTGTATGCCACCATCTGTTAACTTTTCATGGGGTGCTCAGCTTGGTTTTCTATGTTGGTATCATTCTTTCATTTCTATTTAACTGAGTATATGAATTGAACTTAGAACTTTGCCCCTTGCTAGAAATGTAAAATATAAGCCATTATAGAACATAGTTCTTGTACCAGTTAGATCTGTGTTCTGATATAAACTTGTACATGGTAATTCATTAATGAAAACACGGTTATCTTTTGTCAGCTGCTTAATTTAATCAGAGGTCTACAGTTTTTATAGTCTTTTAAAACTCAGGGTTGCCAACACACTGTCCTTCCACTTATCACTGGTATCATATTTTGACTCAATAGTGAACTCTCTTTGCTTCCTTTTTTAGCACTAATGGAATAGGTAGGAATTGTTGCTGATTGAATGCTGCATGGCCTAAGAAGTCATTGTCAACTTCTGTTGCCCCACAATGAGAAGAATTTACTGGATTATAAACCTGAGAATTAGGAGGAAAGCTGCATATATTTATTGAATTTCTGAAGTATCCTTAGACAAAATCAAAAGTACTCCATATCTGAAGCTGCCCTTTCTAGCTCCTTAGCTCTATTCTATACTAAGGTTTCCAAAAGAACATGATTTCATAGCAGTCAAACTAATGAAGTGCTTCTTTTCCTGTCCTGTTTTCCTGCCAAGGTTGGCAGGAAAGCAGCAGTTTGTCTTGCTTAGCAGAGAGAGATTGTGCAACAATAACAATGCTAAAAAATGAGCAGATTAAAATATTTCCAAATACAAACTGATAAAGTCTTGACCCATGACACAGCAGATATAACTGTGGTTAAATCTGCTGCTTTTAAAAAGGTGTGGATAATTGATGTGCCAATACCAGGAGACAGTAGAGTAGAAGACAAAGAATTGGAAACAATCACAAAGTATTAAGATCTGAAAATCAAAATTAAAAGATTATGGCATATACGGGGTCTGATGGTTCCCGTTGTTAGTAGGACACTAGGTGCCATGTCAAAAAATCATGGCTGGCACTTAGAAAATATACACATTAGCAACATTTCCATCTGTCAATTACAAAGGCCATGCTGCTTGGATCCGCACATGTACTACGCAGATACATTGTGATATCCTAGCTTCTTGGGAAGAACTCAATGCCTATGAAGGCTAACACAGCTAAACACAACCTGGCAGTTGTGATTTCATATTTTTATGTATATAATCATTTATTAGATTTATATGCTGCCTGACTGTCGCTGACTTTGACTGCTCACAGCAATTAAATTATAATAAAAATCAGGAAACATAAAAAGTAAAAATAAAAGATGGCAAGTGCAATAAAGTGAGGGAGTCTCTCTGTTCCTTGCTGAAAGCCCGATTGAAAGACTAGGTGTACATGATTCACCAACACCAGCAGAGTGAGGACCATCCAGATCTCAAGGGCAGATACTACTACAGAGCAGGTACATTCTGGGATCCTGAGAGATCTATTGTTTAATCCAAGGAATCCAGAGCATGCCAGCTCTTCAGTATCGAATCGGACAGGAAACATGGGACCTTAGGAAACCAGGCTCTATATAATTTAGGGTTTTATAGGTAATAACCAGAATTTTGACTTGCATCCAGAAGCGAACTGGCAACTAGTACTGCATGTGAAGCAGTGATCCCTCCCTCAAAATATCAATTGATGTATTAATTTCCTTCTGGGGCCCTCTAATGAACAACCTTCAAAGACATATTTTCAGATTTTTTTTTTATTAGAGTTGTAAATAAAGAAAGTTTCTCACAGGAAGGATTCTTATAATCAATTTCAAAGTGTTAATCCAAGTCCATATGAACACTTAATATTTCTAAAACTTTCTAAGATCAATATTTTAATTACTCTTTTGCTGTATAATCCATTTTTTTTAATTCTACAAAACCTTACACTCATACTTAAGATTTTTTTCTTAAAGGATTAAAGAAAAAAATCACCCAGTGAACATAATAAAACTTGCAGATCTAAAGGTTCTCAATCTTTAAAAAAACAATAAAAAAGTAAAATACGAAGTGATTAAGAAGTGATGTTCAATCCAACTTTCAGTCTGTAAAGCCTACATTGATGGGTATGAGTTCAGCAAACTGTTGCAAATCTCACCTGCTTGGAAACTGATTGCAAATAACTCATAAAAACCAGCTGTCCAGAGCACTTACGGACAATCTCAGAATCGCATCTTTTTCCAGAAAGATTTTGGCAGTTCAGATCCACCCAACAGTTGCCATTTTCAGTTATAATGTCTTCCAGTCTTCAGACATCAGTTCATCATTTCCTCACTGGAAATCAAACTATAATGCAGTTTTAGATTAGTAAAGTGTGTTTCTTTATAATTTAGAAGTAAGCATTAGCATGGCTTTATTATATAAATGAAAAACAAAAAGGTTACATTACATTTTAGCAAACAAATTGAAGACAGTTGTATAACAGGATAAACCCCTCCATCTTGTTAATGTAAACATGCATGCTGCTTTCTTAGCTCTACATTACATGACTCCTTAATTAAAGTAAGTGTTTTTTCTAGATTTAAATGTGATTATGAAGCACTTATCACATGTGGTTGGCATTAATTAGAATTTAAAGCTGTGCTTGGTAATTATCTGCATATTGTGGCAGTTCAGCAGAGGATGCAACATCTAGCAGCATAATTTGTAAGAAGTTCCTCTGAAAAGCCCCATTATAGTGCCATTGGCATAGTATTTATGCATATGGCACAGTACATATGGTGAAAGCCCTATAGGAACCCAAAGTATAGATTCACAGCTTCATATATAAGTAGTTGCTATCTTACAACTGGTCACTTAACAATCATTCAAAATTATGATAGAGTCCCCAAAGGCTACCTATGATCCGGTTTCAAAGTTACGGTGGCTGCAGCACCCAGCAATCATTTGCCCTTACGACCAACCATAGGGATACTGCAGCACTCACTCACACACACACCCTTAGAGTTGTCATGCAACTTGCTGGGCTTTTTGTAATTTATTCTTCTAGTTCAGGGGTGTCAAACTGGCGGCCCGTGGGCCAGATGCATCATGCTCAGGCCACGCCCACCCCAGCTCTGCGAATGGGAAAAACGTCCCAAAATGTCACATGATGGCAAAGTGACATGGCGAATTTGACACCTGTGTTTTAGTTTGTGACTCTGCTGTTAGCAAAACCTCCACTTGAATCCAACTAAGTAAGAAAATATTAAATCCCAGGAGCAATGTTATACATAGCTATAACTCTGAAATTATTTAGCTTGATGTGATATGGCATCCTACTCAATATGATTTAGTAACCATGTTACTATGGGTTGATTAATATATCATAGTTTTAAAGTCCTGAGTTAGCATTATATATAACTGTGGTTAGTCTACATATTAGGATATTGGACACATTTTGACTATTAACCACAAGATAACAAGCATATAAATTTGATAAATAAAATAAAGGAAATAAACAATTCTAAACTGTTACAAACTTAACATTTATTTTTATATGTGAAGCAAAAATAAAATACACAAAAGTAACAGAATCATAAAACAAAAAGGGTTTATAAGACTAAAGATCTGACAAAATTTTAGCATTTAAATAATCAAAGACAGTTGAAGAAATTTATGTGCTGTCCTTGGTTCTGTCTGAGCTTGGTTGTTTTCTTGCGGACATTTCATTAGCCAACTAAGTAGCATCCTCAGTGCTAGAAGGGAGTGGGGTTTGCTCACTGTGTATATACAAGTGGCTTGCCCTTTCACTGTTGGGAGTGTTCTTGGTAGTTCTTTGACTAGACTGTTGTTTACCATTTTGATTGTTTGATAGTTCCTTGAGTTCCACAATATCCCAATTCTGCCAACTCAGACAATTTGGAGAAAAGGTTTTTTGAATGAAATATTTTATTTACCTGAATTTCTTCTATCACAAAGCAAATATGTGTTTCTTGTAGCTACACTTATATTATTTCAATACAGGATGGATAGTTTTAACTATAATAAAATCATTTACCATTATAAGATTGAAATTCTGTTCTGTAAATTAATCCACGGAATGGAGAAATAAGTTTAAAAGTTAAATGTATTAGTTTTTGCAAATTCTTTGTTTTCAGTTAAACAAAAACTTAGTTGCTTTTAGTTTTTGATTTAATGAATGGTTATAATTAAGTAGTTTTCAGATGTGTCAGGGTTCCGACGGATGCCCTAATTAAATCATGAATCTCGAGCTAAGCTTCTAAAGAAATCCAGTTATTTATTAGGAGCTTCATGTTGGCAAATTCCCAAGTGAAGCCAGCTCTGATCCTACGTAATATACGCTCCAATTATGACCCTGTTTCCCTCCCCCCCAGGGAGTCAATCACATTTGCCAATGGAGCAATTTCACGGGTTGTAGAGGTCACTCCCCTTCAGCTGCTGTAGGTGACCCTGGGATACAGCCTTGAGAGAGATAAGCATGGAATGTGCATCTGTCTTTGGCTACTGTGGCATTTTGCTGGTTTCCTATCCCCCCTGGCCTATGGCAACTCGAGAGCAGGCCAGGATGCTTTGCGAGTTTGACAAGATGTTCATTTGACAACAAACAAATATATGTCTGTGAGACCATTGTAGAGCTAATTAAGCAAGTACATTTTTCTGAGGGCTCACATATGGAATTAATACAATCCCTCAGATGATATGGTTAGAAAAACTAATAAGATAGTGATGCCATAGGAAATCATTCATTACATCCATCATAATATATACTCTATATATGCTAACATACAACACTGACTGTATGCTAAAATGTTGATTTATAAGATAAAATGATCACTTGCTTGGGCAAGAAACTGGATGAATATTCAAAATGGATAAAGAATATGCCCATTGTCTACCAGAACATGTCCATACTGACCACAGGGTTAACCTGCTTGAAAAACAAAAAGACCAAGACAGGTTTTTCAATCAGTGACAGAACTTGAATTTGTCAGCAAATATGATTTTGATAAATTCATTGGAACTAATTGGGACACTGGCCTGTTATATTATAGATGTTGAGAAACCATTTCATAAACAGTGGTAAACTTGTGTTTGTTATAATGATAGGCTATTGCTGTGAATGCATATGGATGCCGTAAACTATCTTGCAACTAGTAATAATTCTTGTATTTTATAATCTGATGGATTCATTTCTTTTTGAAGAATGTCTATGCCTACTTTGTAGATTTGTTAGTGATTTGGTTCACATATCAAACATAATGTGTTTTGCTTTTAACTTAGCTGTTGTGTGTAGTCAGACATTATGGTTTCAAATTCATAGCTTAGTATGATTATATGCATAATTGTTCAAGTTATATTTAAAAATTCTTATTTCTTGGATAATTTATTTTTCAGATTCAAATCCAATTATAGTATCTTACTTTTTCATTTCTTTTTTCTGTTCATAATTTTAAACATTAGTTGGAACAAATGGAACTTGAAGTGCGTGAAATCCCTCCACAGAGCCGAGCCATGTACAGCAGTAGAATGAAGAGCTACAAGCAAGAAATGGAAAAACTTGACACAGATTTTGTGAGTTAATTTATCTATGGAATTTTGAAAGAGGATTTATGAAGTATCTGTTATATAAGCATCATCATTCTTCACTCTATAACATTTGACTGCTTCATGTATGATAGAAACACAAAAAATAACAATTACATTAATTAAATTATTTATTGAATTTTATTGTAGATCTATTTTTGTCTAGGATCAGAAGTTTCCTCATATAAATATAAATACAACCCTATGATTTTTTTTTACATAACTTGTTCATATGCACTATTATTAATAATGGGTGTATAGATTACAGAAATACTCAGCTGTCAGGGTTGCAACTGATGCCCTAATGAAATCATGACACACAAGCCAAGCTTCAAAAGAAATCCAGTCATTTATTAGGAGCTTCATGTCGGCACGAACCAAGTGAAACCAACTCTGGCCTCACTTAATTCGTGCCTTGGCTCTGACCCTATTTCCCCCGCCCCCTAAGGTGTGTCATCAGTCACATTCTCCAATGAAGCAATTTTGCAGGTTGTAGAAGTCACTCCCTCCAGTCACTGTGGGTCACCCTGGAGATGACCTTGATGTTGCTGTGCTTTGTTTTGACTGAAATGCAAGTTCCTCAATGCAGCTGCGATGCTCGATTCCCCATCCCCCTTCCTATGGCAACTTGGGAGCAGGTCAGGAATGCTTCGCAAGTTGACATTAGCATTATATTTGAGCCAATTACCCACTTTTCTATCTTTATTATTTTAGGAAAATAATTATTATTTAGGAACATAAGAAGTGAACCTTGCTTGTATACTGGTCTCTTCCCTGGGTTTTGCGTGATTTTTTTTAATACAGTACAGAACTATTATTCTTAATGGTATAATTAAATATAGCTTTCAAAAATCTATTTAATAAAAAATAAGAACCTAAATAAAAATCTTATTTATTAGATAATGGAGATAATTTATATTTAAATTAACACTTCATATTTTATAGCCTATAAAATTAAATAAAAGCTATTTCATCAAGCATTCAATAATTTTATTTAACCAAACATTTGTCTACTTGGCTGGTGGGAATCAATCAGTTTCCATCAGCCAAGCTTTCAGTTAAGTTTCCTATTTCTCAAACTGTGCTAATGAAGTAACTGATACAACATTGAGGCTGAAACATGGCAACGGATGTTATCCACTTCTACATTTAGGAGAGTGAAGCAACAGTGTTTTATGGAATCTCCATTCTTTCAAGATTGCAACTGCATTTCAGGATGCATTTCAAGAGAATTCATTTGTCAGTTCCAAATGTAATTTTAAGCATACAGCCAATACCAAAGTCTAAGATCTAAGCAAAATATAATTTTAAATAGTACAAGTAATCATTTGAGTTACAAGTAGCTCTTCCGGATTGTTTCTATAATATTCTGAAACTTAAGTTGTGAATAACTGTAGAGATTTTTGTTATCCAAAAATATGAAGAAAACTCTAAAGTTGGATTTCAGAAATATGATTGTGACTTGCAATATGAATCATAAATGTGGTACAGTAAATGAAGGCAGCCACAACAATATAGAGCTATATATAAAAGGCTATACAGTATTTGTGACATCATAATTTATAAAAAAGGAAAGAGAAGAGGAACTAGCAAACAACATTTTGATAGTGTTCAGAAAATGAATAGTAATTAATGCAGAGATGTTCTTGTAATCTTAGAACTCTGAGTCATTTGAGTAAGCCGGACAAAGATATTACAATCAGATTAAAGAAAGGGCTGCTTTATACTGTGTGCACTTCTAGAATTACTACTGCATGATTTACTTATTACCAATGGGGGTGATTTCAGATGTCACTAGAGAGGACAAAAATACCAATAGCTACTACAGAATGATATTGATTGTTGCTTGGGCATACAAATAGAGAAGGATGGAGTCAGATTCACAGACTGTTTATGGGCTTTCTGTTGTGGACAATGTAGGCCTTGGCATAATCTGTCACTGCTGTTGTTATGTTTTTAATTTTGGGTATTATCCTGTCTTTTGTTTTAGAAAGTGATTTTAGTCATTACTATTATTGCCTGGAGAAAATAATAATCAGATTCAAGAGAGCTATGCCGTAGTTTGTAATTTATCAATGTCTAGTTTATACAGGTGAAAGGATTACATATTCTAATACTTTTCTTAATTCAGATCTTCTGCCACTGTGCTTGGCTGAAATTTCCTCCTAGAAGAGATAAAACTCAGGTGTTAAATTTTGTTATCTATTACTTTTTTCGTGCACTTACAGCAAGAGCCAGTTACATAGAACAATGTAACATTTTTCCTGTCTTAATTTACCATTCACTTTGTTCAAAGTGTGGTTAAATATTTATACTGACAGTCTTGACCAATTATTGTCATTTAGTTTAACATGGTATAGTATGTCTCATACTTGTTTTTTAGATTTGCCATGTATTCCAGGCTTCTACTGTAACACTAGCAAGATGTGAAGGTTACAATAATCATTCAAACAAGTCACTCTATTTATGATTACATAAAATCATACTGAAAAACAGCCAGTTAGTCCAATTTCTATGCAATATAACTAACCATTTGAATTATGAAATCACAAATGGTCCTCAGTAAGACAGTGTAGGTGATCTGTAATTGTACTTACAAGAGACATCATATGGCTTAATACAGTGGTGGGTTTCTACCGGTTTGTCCCAGTTGTGGCGAACTAGTAGTGGCGGTGGTGGGGGGCTCCGGGCATGCGGAGAAGGTTCTGCGCATGCACAGAAGCGCCGTGAGCGAGCGAAGCGAGTTCCGAACTGGTAGCAAAGGTAAGTAGAACCCACTACTGGCTTAATAGCCATGTTAATTTTACAAAACAAAGCAAGCACAAAAGAGAATACACAGATAGTCCTTGACATCGAACACAATTGAGCCCAAAATTTCCATTACTAAGCAAGATGAGTGTTAAGTGAGTTTTGTACCATTTTATGACCTTACTTGCTTTATTTGACTTATTTACTTGACATATTTACTTATCATTGAATGAATAACTGCAGTTGTTGAGTTAGTAATATGGTTGTTAAGGGAATCTGGCTTCCCCATTGACTTTGCTTGTGAGAAAATGGCAAAAAGTGATCACATGACTGCAACTGTCATAAATACGCGTCAGTTGCCAAGCTGAAACTGTCGTGTGAAAAACAATTCCAAGCCATTTTTTTCAGTGCCTTTGTAACTTCAAACGATCACTAACTGAATGTTGTAAGTTGAAGACTATCTGTTTTCGGCTATATGTTTCAAACCCTGTATGTAAGTTTTATTGTAAATTCTTATATTCTCTGTTGAAGGAACAATAAAAACAGTATTTTATTGATATTATTTTGCTTCATCTTTTTAGACTTTTGAGAAGTATGTTAACAAGTTGATACTGACAGATTTATCAGGATTGACAGGATTTACTGAAGGTATTATACAATTTGTGAGTGTGAAGTTTATAGTTAAGCACATTTTTAAAGTGTCAGTTTTAAACAGCAGGAAAAGTTAACTAATTTTCTGTATACAGTTAGCTCTATCTTGTGGTCAAACATGGAATTGCAGTATGTGATTATGTTGGCAGAAAAAAATAGCTAAATAATCTTAAAACCAATATTAACAGCCAGGAGTTACTCTGGTAAGAGCATTCTTTTCCTTCCTGCCCTTTCCCCGAAAAACCAGTATTCATGATTTTCAGAAGCCAGACATTTTAAGAAGCAGTAACACACACACACACACACATATTTTTGACTAATTGAAATGGTTTGTCAAGTTTTCTAAGTATAACTCTTCACACTTTAATTCTTTTTTACTATGTACCAATAGTCTAAATTTTTGTGGCCAAGATTTATAGCCCTAGATAATGTGTAGTTAGTGCATTTGTTAGCAAAAAAAAAAAAAAAGTTTTATTTTAGAGCTATAAAACTAGACCTGCAAAAATAACTCACCTGTTACTGTAATCAATGTCCTACCTATTCCTAAAGTATAGGCAATGTAAGTTTTCCTTTTAGTAGCCATATTGAAATTATAAGTTTATAACTTTAAAAGGCCATATTATGTAGGAATACCTATGTACCAAAGAATTAGGGAAATGGAGACTAAAACATATGAAGAAAGGTTGCAAGAATGGGGTATGTCTAATCTAATGAAAAGAAGGACTAGGGTAGACATGATAGCAGTGTTTTAATATTTGAGGGGCTGCCACAAAGAAAAGGGGATCAATCTATTTTTCAAAGCACCAGAAACAATGGATGGAAACTAAACAAGGAGAGAAACAACCTAAAACTAAGAAGAAATTTCCTAAGGATAAGAACAATTAACTAGTGGGATGGCTTGCCTTCAGAAATTGTGGCTGTCCCATTACTGGAGGCTTTAAGAAGAGACTGGGCAGCTATTTGTCTGAAATGGCATTGGTCTCATTCTCAAGCAGGTGGGTTGGACTGAAAAACCTCCAAGGTCCCTTCAAACTTAGTTATTCTGTGTTCAGAGCCGGCCCTGCAAATAGATAATGTGCTTTGCTGCAAAAGGAAGTCTACTTTTTAAATTCTGAAAAGTAATTAATGGTATAATGTTCTGCTAAAATGCTCTGGTACACTCTTTTACACTTTTAGTTTAAAAAAAGTAAACAAAAGTATATTGAAAGGTTTTGGTGAAAGAGGAATTGAAATACATTTACAGTTATTGATATTACCATTGCTGCACTTTGTATAACTTTTTATACAGATATATTTCATACCAAGGAAAGAAAAGCTGAAATGACAAAGCAAAGCCATTTTTGAAGAAGCCTCATTCAACCAGGGATATACATGTATGGTTTTGGTGTCTCATCATTGGACATCATATTTTAGAGTCTGGAATTAGTGTGTGAACCAAATTGCTCTTCATTCTTGTGATATAGCATAACTACAATGGAAAAAGTTCTGTTATTCTGGCTTGAGAACAGGAAAATGCTAATTTTATAATAACATTTGAAGAAAGACATTCAGAGAGTATGCAAAAATGATTAACACTCTATGGCAGGGAT